ATGGCCGGGCAAGGTTCATGACGCTCGCGTGTTCAGGAACTCTGGTCTGTTTAGACGGCTGCAGGAAGGTATTTACTTCCCAGACCACAAAATAACTCTTGGGGATGTGGAGATGCCTACAGTCATCCTCGGGGACCCAGCCTACCCGCTAATGCCCTGGCTCATGAAGCCCTATACTGGCGCCCTGGACACAGAAAAAGAACTGTTCAACTACCGTCTCAGCAAGTGCAGAATGGTGGTGGAGTGTGCTTTTGGCCGTCTCAAAGGGAGATGGAGAAGCTTACTCACTCGCTGTGATCTCAGTGAAACCAATATCCCCATCGTTATTGCAGCTTGCTGTGTGCTCCACAATCTGTGTGAGAGCAAGGGGGAGACCTTTATGGCGGGGTGGGAGCTAGAGGCAAATAGCCTGGCTGCTGATTACGTCCAGCCAGACAGCCAGGCCATTAGAAGATCCCAGCGGGACGCCCTGTGCATCCGGGAGGCTTTGAAAGCTAGGTTCCTGAGTGAGCAGGGCAACCAGTGACTTTTCAGTTTGTGGACAGAAAAGCTGAACCTGCCCCCGTTTCTTTACCCAGTTCATTTTGACTATCCTCTTCAGTTACATACCCCCTTCACCCCCTTCCCCTTCCCAAAAAATAAAATCATTTCGATTTTGTTAATGAACACCGTTGTCTGTATTGCTGTTTTCGCGGGAATATTTTAAACCGGGGACGCAGACTGTGGCGGGGGGCGGGTTCAGTGTTCTGATGCAAATGATGCTTCTAAACTCCCGGAATGACAGGCTCCGCACTGGTGGACTGGTTATTTCAATGGAGAACATGAAAAACACCTCCCAGACTGACCAGGGTAACCAGTGACTGCACTGTGTATGTGTCCTGATGCTGGACCTGACACCGCCTCTGTACCCTGCTAAAGGTCACTGTCCTGTCCAATTACCAAGCCCCTTCCCCCCCTCCAGACAGACTCTCCCTCAAAAGAACCTGACTGAAACAGTAATGGAGAGAAACAAACATTTTATTGCGAACCAGACATGAAACGTGGGGTGTGAAACTTGGACGGGGGCTT